TTTGGATCTTCAAAAGAGACGTTCTCAGATTCTTCATGACCTTTTCTTAGCTGACTAAAAAGGGTGAGGCTTAAAAATGTCAGTAATTTCAGTCAATCAAATGCTTTAAAAACAAGAAGCCATACTTCATTCTGAATGTTAATATCTGTCATTGAAATGTTCCCTTTCTGCTTTCAAAATATTTCTTAGCCAATAATAGGTTTCCACTTGATTGCCTCTTTGAATGTCTGTAGAAATGTCAAATCTAATACAACCAAAATCTCACATGCCATTTCCAAAAAATTCTTCAGAAATTCGGAATGGGGAAAGAACAGAAAAATATAGCCATCCTGTTTTATCAGAACTCCATATTGCTGTTTTCCCACCCTACAATATCTGAGGAGCAGAAGCCATAATCCTCGTTTATGTCCTAGAGTTTGAAATACAAATGTTAAATTCAAATGACTAGATAGCAGTTCAAGTGTATTGGTGAGACTTTAGACTTCTCAAAAAATTGATCTCCTATTTCATACATTGTATTCAGTGATCAAGATGTCTTTCCTACTGATACATTAGTACTATTAACATGCCATGCTTCACAAAACCTCTTCCTATCATAACCAAATGCTTATGACAAAGGCAATGGAGAAAAAGAAGCTAACTGACTCAGTACTGGTGAATCATTTGCAATATAACCAAAGCTATAATAAAATGTTATTCTCCAAATCACAGGGGCAAAGCACATTCACAGTGATTCTTCAGTTAATAAGCTATTTCTGGGCTATGCAGATCAAAGTTACAGTATGGTTAAAGGAGGACTGAAATAAGATTGATTAGAAATCAATCAAATCAGATTAGAGTTACTGATAGCACAAATTTTACTAGAAAAGCCACACATCAGAAAACCTGCTTTTCTCTGTTACGTTTAACTAATAACTACTTTTACAGGAAAAAACATACAGCTTTCCTTTATTATACTTTTACAGTTCCTATTTTCTAGATCCGTTTAGTCCTGTACAATATCTGTACCTCTTCCTTGTTTCTCCTTTTGTCCTTACATACATATTTGAAATTTGTGAGTACTGCCTTCTTTCAGGTCAGTTACTTGTGTTCCTTAGTATACCTCCATAATAAAAGCAAGCAATTTCCCGTTTTATTTGTTTGTTTGTTTGTTTTTTAATGTGGCACTAAGCTTCTTCTTAAATAGTATGTATAAGATATATGCTAGAGATGCATGCGGTTTTCCTATTGATTGTTTGATTTAAAGCGGCTTGCGTGAATATTACTAAAGCTCTTCAAATCACATTTATGCCAATGCCACAAATCATTTCCAAATACACTTTATGATGTTACAATATAACCAAACATCTTTCAGTGAATATGCCATTAAAAGTTTAAGGTGATCACTTTTATTGAAAGAACACAATCACCAGCTAAAGACAGAGTGAGTCGATTACTACTCCTTTCTGTGTATCAGCTGGCATGGTCAGCTTTCCTATTCAGTATATAATTCTGAGTTTCAGAGACTAAGGACAAGAATTCTTCACTGATGTGATACTAAGCACACCTCAGCAGGATTTGGCTAATATTTATATTCTTGCAGCATTGTTACTAGAAAATGATTCCACGTTTTTAAATATCATTATGGACTCAGACTCTATACGATCAGTAAAGAATATGAATTAGACTGCATTGTATTCAGAGGAATACAAATAAGTTTGACTTGCAGTTCTGGTAATTTAATAATTGAAGATAATAGAAGACAATCCTGACTTAAACTACTACAACAACAAGATACAACACAAACTAGACCCATCTCAGGCTTATGTGCAAATTTATTACCTTATCACATCCATTCCCCACTACCTGATCAAATGCTAAAGCAAGAAAAATGTCCCAAATAAAAGAAATAAAAGATAATTAAATAAATATACATCTACAATATATTTCAGGTGTCAGATGAAATGCCGTGAGACTGTCTTTGCATCAAAAATACAGAATAATTTTCTTTAATGAACTATGATTTCCATAAATGGAACTCTGTACTTATACCTATGGTTGAGTTGTTTTTAGATTGGACTTTAGAAATGCAGCTACTGCATAGTAGCTCTAATTTTCTTGTGGAGTGCAGACACTACAGCTTGCATTTAAATTGTTTTTGGCATTTTGCTTCCTTCATTTACTGTAAAGACAACATGTACATAATATAGGAAGAATTATCTGTTTAACAGAAATAAAATCTGACAGAATGCTCATGGTTTCCACCTGCACAAAATATTTAGCTTTCAGCAGCATGCTGTCTATAAGGATTGAAAGGTTTGGAAATATAGCGTCTCCATAGGACTGTAAAGCAATGCTATCATTGCAATAAAAGTATTTAAGGAGCAGAAAGAGCTGCATCTGGTAGTCCTACAAATATGTAAGTCTAAAATGCATGCTATGAAAGAAAATTAATACTTCTAAAAGTATTAAAAGACATCAAAAATTGAGAAGCGTTAGAAGAAAAGCTGATATTTGTGGTGTATTCTGCATACCTGCACCACGGTTGCACTTCTTCAGTTCTCTATTTCTTGTAAACGTACACTAGATCAACTCAGTGTTATTATTCAAATAACATTTCCTTTATTTACAGTCAAAGTAAAAAGTCATCAATCAGATCCTGTTTTTTTTTTTCTATGACTAAGTAATTATGCTGTAATTTCCCATAATTTGCGTTCTCAGACACCTTCCAGAACCAAAATAATAAATATGCTTTGTATAAGCGCAGTGCTGAAAAAAATGCTTCCTTTTTAGGGTTCAAATTTTAATTATTAAAAAGTAATATTGCCCATTTAATTACACAGAAAACAATTTCCTTTTAATTGTTGCCTTGCGACTTCACACATCCTTAATACTACATAATTGTGATCACTGCTGATATAGATAATTCATGCATTAATCACTGATGTAGTTTTATTTAATTAATTCTACATTTTGACCACTCATGTATCTGATACTGGAGTACAAAGATTGGATGCAGGCTAAGAGATATTTAATACTGATATTACTCTTTAGACTCTACCTTTTTATATTTCACAGTGCTTCTCACAGACTTATTTCCCTCCAACCCCCATTCCCGCTACCAGCCTCTCTATGCACAAGAAGCGTTGATATACACTTCCCAGTATCAAAGAATGAAGCATCTCATCTGCATGCAAACCTGACTTTATGTACTGTAAAACTTTTCTGTAAATATACAAGTGTAACTGTAGCTGCCAAAAACCTTTACAAACTCTTTCCTCCTCTTTCATCAGTCACTGCCTATTTTGAGCCTAGTGTCATTATCGTCAGCATTTCTATTATATAGATACTTCATGTTATGCTGTCTAGTACAGAAAGTGGACTGTAGCCTTGGTCTAGGCAGAAATATTGTTGCTGGATAGAAATCCAACAATCAGAAGTGATTTAGCTGAATGTAGATTGAATAATTATAATGAATTCTTGCATTTCTTCATTATTTTCAAAATGCCTCCTTCTTCCTCTTACTGAGCAGTGGGAAAATTTGTTTCACAATTGCTGCAGGTATTGCTGCACTCTAAGCTGACAGGTATTTTAAAATCAGTTTCTTAAGTGTTCTGAATACTATTAATTCAGACAACATAGAAAAACTAGACTACATTTCATAATTCCCTGGAAGAAAGAAAATGAAATGCCGTCGTGAGACCTTGAGAAGACTGACCTACAGTCTGCTGCAATGCTGAGAGCAATCATGTTACTCAGACGTTCAGATTAGGCTCTTTCTGCTGTGACAGCGCTTCCAGGGTGCATGCACGACTGAACCTTCAGAATGGATTTTAAATTTTTTCTTTTAATGTGGACCATTTTGAAACAACTAGGATTTGACTTAAGAATTCACTATGCAGCATTTTTATTTCTGTTATAAACACTAGCATTTGTGCTTGGAACAGAAGTGAAACTACATCTATAATTTCATATTAACTTGATCAATGGTGCTTTTACAGTAACTGATCAGAAATAAGGAAGCTTTCTGGATCTTAAATTGAGGTGAATCGCTCCTCACTGGAGGAAAATAAAGCACCTTTAAATATTCCTATCTGGGATTGTATAGCAATGTCACAAGTGATATGTAATATACTCCACCTAAGTCCATTTTTCTTTACTTCCCCTAGCTAATTAGTAATTAAATACACACCCCTGATAGGGCCCAAGCTTATTCCCATGGGAGCAAACTGTGGAATGGTGACATTTATACAAAGGACTCAATGATCCTTACAGGTCCCTTCCAACTTGTGATATTCACAGAATCACAGAATCACAGAATTGTTTCCATGATTGTTTCCATGATTGTTTTGTAGGACCATAATGTAACACATTGTAGATAACCTCAGAGTTGGAACAAAATTCTGGAAGTGTGACCAAGAAAAGCACACAGCCGGAACTGAAGCCTAACTCCACCAAATGTCTGCATACCAATCTCTCATTGAAACCAGTTGGTGTTATGGCTGTGAATCAATCGGGGACCCCAAGCTATTTTTAGGACTTCCCATCTGGTTTTTCTAGATTTCACTGCAGAAAAGCACACTCCTCTTCTAGAACTTGTATCAATCTGCCAACTCCACAGAATCATATGATCACTCAGGTTGGAAAAGACCTTAAAGATCATTGAGTCCAACCATGACCTAACCATACTATCCTAACTCTAACAATGACTTCAAGTGAAACTAGATGTTCTAGACAGATATAACTACAGAAATAAAGGCAATTATAATTTTGCATAAGCATTTTTCAAATGAGAAACACTTGTATTTTGGTTAAATAAATAAAGAAAACTTCTACTCTGATCAAAGAATTTTACAAGCCTGTACAGAGACACATGGCTCCTATATAGAAAATTATGAGTTGTCCTTTGGATTTTCACTAATAGGTTAATTGCTGATGATGATTGTCACATGCACAATAAGTTACTTATTGAATTGTGATCTTGTATCTCACTTTGTATGTACTTATTAGTTTCTGTGCACTGACACGAGTGGAAATACAAATAATCCGGACTTAACTATTACAGAAAGTAGTATCCAAAAGAAAATGAGGTAAGTTAAAACTGTTCTAATTTTCCTATGATGAATCATCTTTAGAATTCCCTTAATTTCTCCTCTTCCTTAAAAAGTAAAAATAATTAAAAGCAAAATACAGTGAAAAATTTAAGTTTGCTAATGAAAGCAATGCAGATCATCACAAGAAAGAAAAATGCCTCAGTACAACTCACCTGCTTTCAGTACTGTATTACTAAAACCTGTACCATTGTACCCTTTGGTTGCTTTCTTTATTTGTTCTTCTGTGCTAAAATAACTTAGCTCTAATTGAAGCCAAACAAGTGGCTTCTCTCATGGAAGAAAACTGCAGACATACCATGCCCCCCCATTGGGAAGATACCTGGAGTGCAGCAGCAGTGTTTTATACTAGTTCATCACCTGTAAGAAACCACTGTTGTAGTCTTACTCCCCTTGCTCTACTGGATCTGCAGTGCCAATGAGCTTGGAATAAAAAAATACACATAGATAGACCTTACATACATAGCCCTGGGCTAGGAGCATGCTCGTCTGTTCTGGCAGCTTAATTTTGTACAGAATTGAATCTTTTGCTTTTTAATGTTCTCTCCTCCTCCCTCCCAGCTTAATTCTAAAGGATATTTTGTAGCATCTGGGGACTCACAGAAGCACATTAACACCTTAACAGCCACTCCGGGCCTTCAGTACAGTGTACATTCCTTGACAGGATTTGTTCCTATCTTCTGATAGCAGTAGGAGGCTTTGAAATTAGCTGTACAACCTAAACAGTGTTTCCACAGGAGCAAAACAGAAAATGAAAGGTATATTATTCAGACACCAAACCTTCAAGTACAGCTTGTTCTATTAGACATACCTATCTAGCTCATCAGATCAATACAACAATTTGTTTTGAGTTTTTAGGGCCACAGAATAAAATTAAAAAAAAAAAAAAAAAAAAAAAAGCCTGGCAATTACAAGTGTAATAGCAAAACAGTGCAAGCTAAAAGCACATTCACCTTTTCAGCCAAACTGCATTAAAGTGAAATGCAATTGGTATTTCATTAATTGCCACTGACTTGCTAAAATGTAAACTGAAGCGCTCGACTCCATCATCTGTATACACCTTAACCATGCCGGTCACAACACAGTCCGTATAGCTGTCAATGCAGTTCTCAACAAGCACACTTTACCAACACTCCCAAGAGTTTATGCTGCTTCACTGAACTCCACCAAAAAACACCTTTCTACAGGCACAATCCTACTAAAGCAAACTTTTGGCTTTGTAAAACTCAGGTTGGACTCCTGCAAGAATCTTTGCATAATCTCCCGTAAAATCTTAGCAAGTGTAAAACCTCACAGTTGTTCCAGTTTGCTCTGTAGCCAGCCTGCTCTGGCTATACGTATCCCACGTATTTGTGTTAAGACAAAGGACTACAGATAAAGGATACAACCTTTGGCCAAACCTAGAATTCTTAGTCTCTTGAAAAAGCTCATGTGACATGACATGATAGGATTTGCAAGGTAACCAGGACAGGCTGTTGATTACTCGGTAGAGAAGAAATAAAAAGCAGCAGAAGAGGGGCAATGTTCTGGATTATTGACTTCAAAGAAATGCTGAAGTTTTTTAACACGAGTGGATTGTTACTGATATCTCCTTGTTAATCTTCAAAGCTGATTTCCAAAATGTTGTATCCTAAGCACTTCCAAAACAAGACTAGATAGAAAGTGTTGTAACATTTATAAAGATGATTAAAAGTCTGGTTGAGTGAAACAGAGATCGCTTTTCCTTACTCTTTCTTCCTCTGTTTACCTACCTATTTTTGGATTTAAGGATTCACAGAATCACAGAATTGCAGGGGATGGAAGGGACCGCAAGAGATCATCGAGTTCAACTCCTCTGCTAGAGCAAGTATCCTAAAATAGGTTGCACAGGTAGGCTCTTTTCTTCCAAAGACACAAAACACCCATCTTCATATATAGTAATAGTCAAAGATGAGAGCTTGTATTTTGCTGCGATCACTGCGATAAATGCATCTGTGCTAATGCAGGAAGGTGAACTTCCACCACAGATGCTACATTCCTGTCAATAATGCATCAGCCAGGAAGGCAGGTGACTTGGACTCCCCTCGTTTCCACTGCATGAGGAGTTATGGTCTGTCTCTGAGCAGCTTAATTAACATTCCTTTTCTGACCATCTCTCTCTTCCTTCATCTCATTTATAGACAGTTACATAAGACATAATATTAATGTGGCAAAATTATTCGATGCTTTCTCCTACTCACAACAAGAGGCAATGGGTACAGGATAAGTTGCACTGAGAGAGATTTCATCGTTATGTGTGTGTGTGTGTGTGTGTGTGTGTGTGTGTGTGTGTGTGTGTGTGTGTATTTATGCATTAATTTATTTTTACAGTAAAAACTATCAAGCATTGTAACCACCTCCCCAGTAGAGTCTGGAATCTGCATTACTGGAGGTTTTCAAGATGCAACTGGACTGGGTATTGAAGAATCTCATCAAGGTTTCTATTTCCATAAAAGGCTGGAGATGATTTTCACCTGGCATGTTCCATGATTCTCTGTGACTATAGAAATGGAAATTTTAAACACAACTTAATGCCTCTCTCTCTCTCTAATTCTTTGCTGGTATAACTGACTCCTTCTGCATGCCTGGGAGCAAATGTACTTCTGTGGGGTCAGCACCACTAGAGTAAATCCAAGTAGACTAAGTATTCTTCAAGGAAAGGAATTTGCTTTAATAAAAAAGACTGAAAGCATCAGGACACAAATTTTGCTGTCAAAAAGACTCTTCATAAACAAGAAAAGAAAAAAAAAAAAAGTGGTTAAGCCATCACAAGCAGAGCAGCTGGTGTTTTAAATTGATTCCCTCTATCAATTATTTAATTTATGGTGACTCTGGTGGGGAGCTCTGAGAAACAAGAATTTGCAAGATTTTAAAGTATCCAGTCTCACTATTTTGATTGCTCATCTTCTCACTTTCTTAGTGCACCTTTAAAACTGAACTGAATTTCTGAGGAAGTTGCTAACTATCTTGTCTGCATTCACACTCATTTGGACATCTTTCCACAGAAACGAGTTTATTAGATTAGAACAGTCTCAGATTATTACACTTCAAAAGGTAATGAAAATGCCTTTACTGCCATAATATTGCAGTTACTGCTATGTTGCTATAAACTGTGTCTTCTTTCTGTGAAGAGACAGAAGTATGAGCTTTGGATCAGTAGCAGCACAGGTACTTTCTTTAACAAATGTGAAAATTAGTGCTGTGAAATCTCCCAAATCTGTAGTATGTAACAGATAAATCCACTACATCAGAAGCAAACTGAGCACAAAACCAGGCATGCAGGGCAGCAGCAGCACAGTAGTCTTTATACAAACAATTGCACTAATGAAAGCAAAACAATAGTCTTAGTTATCTACAAAAGGCCTGGTAAATAGTGCCTTCAGGGGATTTTCTAATCATAACAATAATATTAATTATTTCCTATGGCTATGAATAAAATTTCAGTTTTCCTTTACTGATTAATGCATTTAAACAGAATATTTTTACCTGTATATATTACCATTGCAATCACCATAAAATAGATTTGGATAAACCAAATACAACTGTACAATTTTCATGAATTGGCAAAGACAGCACAGAAAAAGTACTGCAATTCTTTGCATGGCAACCATGTAACCAAAGCAACAAAAAAATGCAATTGAAGAATAAGAAATAAGAAATCTGAATAAACTTTAGAAAAGTTGACAACATTCTTTTGAAAGGTAAGAAACTAGCATAGACTTGAAAGAAAATGCTGAGAGTCCTTGGATCACATACTCCTGATTTGCATTAAAAAACAGTATGTTGTCTGTTGTTAGGTGTGCTATCTGGATGTTGTCATAAGTCACAGCAACAAATACATTATATAAAATATGTAAAAAAAAATAATTCCCAAAGGATAAAAGTTTATATAATGTATTGTCATTATTTCATAGTATTATTACTTACCAATCTTAAAGCTGTATCTTTAAGACCTCAGTGATATAAATGTCAATATTTGGTTTATGTTAATGAATATACTTAGAGTTGTGTTCTTTACTTAATAGCCTTGCATTTAACGGATATAAACAACACATACTTATTCTATACATAGCTAGGGTGAAGTTAAGGGTTCTCAAAGCCCTGCTTGGGAGGAGCAGTTCTGTGTAAATAGAAAGTGGGCTTTTAACAGCTCATGTGACTGGTTAATGAATGACATTACAATAAGTCTACTGTTTGGAAAACCTTGAAAATTGTAACTTCCTGGTATCTAATATGAAGCTCTCTGTGTTTAATGACAGTGAAGTCAGAAACAAGGAAGGGGTATAACAAAGAGTTTTCAAAATAATCTAAAGAAAACAAACCCACAATCAACCCAACAATCCAAGTCCCCCAACATATTAAAATTAATAAATAGAAAAATATATTAAAATAGAATCATAAAATCACTGAATCATAGAATGGCTCGAGTTGAAATAGAGGATCATCAAGTTTCAACCTGCTGCCACAGTCAGGGCCACCAACCTCCAGATCTGCTACTAGACCAGGTGGCTCCCTATCCAGCCTGGTCTTGAACACCTCCAGGGATGAAGCGTCCACAGCCTCATCTGTTTCAACACCTCACCACTCTCAGAGTAAAGCACTTCCCCCTGACATCCAATCTAAACCTTCCCTCCTTGAGCTTAAAACCATTCCCACTTGTCCTATCACTGTCTACCCTTTTAAAAAGTTGACTCCCCTTCTGTTTATAAGCCCCTTTTAAATCTTGGAAGGCAGCAACGAGTTTTCCTCACAGCCTTCTCTTCCCCAGTCTGAACAAGCCCAGCTCCCTCAGCCTGTCTTCGCAGAGGAGGTGTTCCACTTTTCTGACCATCTTTGTGGTCCTCCTCTGAACCCTCTCCAACAGCTCCACATCGTTCCTATATCAAGGGCCCCAGACTTTGATGCAGTACAGGTCTTAGATTTGGTTCTTAGATTTCAATTCTGAATTCCAGAGGAAGCAAGTTGGATCGATACATTCTTATGTTTATTCATTAGAGAGTCCTGCATGTGATTCATATTAACAGGAAGAAAAGTTAGAATGGTCACTGTAAGCCTACAGAACTCCACAGCTAACAGGAACTAAGTTGTTACTGGCATTATGCTGACACCAGACTTCCCCATCAGAGGATGAATTTCATTCACTCCTATACTAAGCATCACAGAAAGAAAAAAAAAAAAAGAAAAATGTGTTTCTCTTTGTACATATACAAAGACAGCTGGAGAAGACTTTGTAATGATTAAAACATAAAATTTACTTTTTAAAAAAAAAAAAAAGTCAAACAAAGCTGTATCTAGATTTTAAACTAGATATTCCATGAAGCTTAGCTGCACTTTAAAGCTTTTGTGTAGTCAGCAACGTGACCAGGTTTTCCATGCATACCATCTGTCTTTGGTATCTCTAAAATGTCAAGCAGGTTAATCACTGCTCTCAACAAACATTGCAGTGCTGCTCTCCTCATTGTTCAGCTGTATGCTCTAGAACTGCCTCCCCGCTCTGAATGTTGCTCAGAAGTGAGTGGGGTGATATATACCAATGGTGCACCCAGCAGGCTTGCCCTGATGCTTCAGGGGCATGGCTGGAGTGTGCCCCTGTAGTCACAGAGCTGGAAGTCAGCTTCAGGTTTCCTGCTGCAATGTCTGCTCAGAAATTTGGGATTCTTCCCTTTAGACATAAAAAGGACAAACTACAGAGTTACACGGGGATTCAGAAAGGTTAGATAACTTAACTGGAAGCTCCTAGTCCCAGTACAATTTTAACTAAGCATAATGGATTTCTAAGTCATGCCTCCTTACGCTAATGCATCAATTTAGTTCAGCTATGTCAGAGTGGCAGATATGTGAGCAAGCCTGGTATGGAACCAAAGTACCCTCCAAAGGCATTAAAGCGTAACTAATTTGAATCTGCAATGTTACAGTTCTTGAATCATTAACACATTGGAGAAAGCTACTACAAGGTCAGACAGGCTTATATCACAGAATCACAGAACTGTAGGGGTTGGAAGGGACCTCCAGAGATCATCGAGTCCAACCCCCCTGCCAAAGCAGGTTCCCTACAGCAGGTCGCACAGGTAGGCATCCAGGCAGGTCTTGAACATCTCCAGAGAAGGAGACTCCACCACCTCCCTGGGCAGCCTGTTCCAGTGCTCCGTCACCTCACTGTAAAGAAGTTCTTGCGCACATTTGTGCGGAACTTCCTATGCTGCAGTTTCCAGCCGTTTCCCCTTGTCCTGTCTCCACTCACCACTGAGGAGAGACTGGCCTCACCACTATGGCCCTCACACCTCAGATATTTATAGACCTGGATCAGCTCCCCTCTCCGTCTTCTTTTCTCAAGGCTGAACAGACCCAGTTCACTCAGCCTTTCCTCATAGGGGAGATGCTCCAGGCCCTTCACCATCTTTGTGGCCCTCTGCTGGACTCCTTCCAAGAGATCCTTGTCTTCTTTGTACTGGGGAGCCCAGAACTGGACACAGTACTCAACATGAGGCCTTATCAGGGCAGAGTAGAGGGGGAGGATCACCTCCATCAACCTGCTGGCCACGCTCTTTTTAATGCACCCCAGGATGCCACTGGCCCTCTTGGCCACAAGGGCACACTGCTGGCTCATGGCCAACCTGTCATCCACCAGGACACCCAGGTCCCTCTCCGCAGAGCTCCTCTCCAGCAGCTCATCCCCCAGCCTGTATTGGTGCATGTTCTTCCTCCCTAGGTGTAAGACTCTATACTTGCTTTTGTTGAACCTCATCTGCTTTCTGCCCAGCTCTCCAGCCTGTTCAGGTCTTGCTGAATGGCAGCACGGCCTTCAGGCGTCAGCCAATCCTCCCAATTTCGTATCATCAGCAAACTTGCTGAGGGTGGCCACTATCCCCTCATCAAGGTTATTAATAAAATCACAGAATCATAGAATCACCAAGGTTGGAAAAGACCTAAAAGATCACCCAGTCCAACCGTTCACCTATTCCCAATAGCTCTCACTAAACCATGTCCCTCAACACAACATCCAGCCTTTCCTTGAACACCCCCAGGGTCGGTGACTCCACCACCTCCCTGGGCAGTCCGTTCCAGTGCCTGACCACCCTTTCTGAAAAGTAATACTTCCTCATGTCCAGCCTGAATCTCCCCTGCTGTAGCTTGAAACCATTCCCCCTGGTCCTATCACTAATGACACGAGAGAAGAGGCCGACCCCCAGCTCACTACAACCTCCCTTCAGGAAGTTATAGAGAGCAATGAGGTCTCCCCTGAGCCTCCTCTTCTCCAGGCTGAACATTCCCAGCTCCTTCAGCCTCTCCTCATATGGCCTGTGTTCCAGACCCCTCACCAGCTTTGTTGCCCTCCTTTGAACACGTTCCAGGGCCTCAATATCTTTCTTGCAGTGAGGGGCCCCTCAGATGTTGAACAAGACCGGACCCAGCACGGACCCCTGAGGAACACCGCTGCTTTCAGGCCTCCAACCGGACTCTGCACCGCCAACGACGACCCTCTGCACTCTGCCAGTCAGCCAGTTCTCAACCCACCTCACTGTCCACTCATCTATCCCACACTTCCTCAGCTTTGTTAAAAGGATGTCATGGGGGACACGACATCCTTACAACATATCTGTAGAACTGTGCAAAAAACAGTACCAACTTTTCTTAAAGCATTCTGGCAGTGAGAGAATTTTCTAATATCATGGAAGATTACCATTTTCTGCTTTGCTTTAAAAGATCTTTCATCATACTCCTGACCAAGACCTCATTGTAAAAATGATAAAAACAAATTACTCCTTAAACCTCCACAGTTGAACTATGTAGTTAGGATATTACATGAAATTTCTTCCTAGAAAAAAAAAAACATGTATTTATAGGACTCTGGATTTTTAGTTTTGTTCACCTTATATTTGGAACAAACAAATGCCATTTAGCATAATAATAACCAGAATATGAAACAGTTCCATAGCTAGAACCATTTTCTAATGTTAAAGGTAGATGTTGAAAAGGTAATTCATGGAAAGTTACATAGGTTTGATTGTCTAGGAAACTTGATTTCACACACTGAGTAGAAATAGTATTCCACATGAAGAGAAGACAATCTCTATTTTCAAAGCAAATTCCTTGCATTTTTCTCCTCAGCAGCTTTTTTCAATGATGCTGCAAAATTGATGGCATTTCTTCTAAACCTTGCTATGCAGAACATTTAAAATCAGCTACCTTTTATGCCTCAAATAGACATGGATAAAAGCTTGGGAAAGAAGTTAATGTTTCTATGTTAATTTCAAAGCAATTCATTTGAGGCAACAAAAAAAAAAAATATCAAGAGACATCAATTTAGGTCACAAAAATTTGACAAATGAAGAAACAAGAACTAGATATCCTGAGGTCTCACCCAAAGCCTTTTGAACTTACTATGAATTTGTTGATTTTACTTACCATTTAAATACACAAAAGACAATATACACAGAAGAACATGGAGTTAGCAGTACAAGATATGTAGCTTCTAACAAATACATTAAGAATTTCCTACTTCAACATTCCATTGCAGTAAAACTTCATTTTTTTAATAGTTAGGTAAAATCCAAATGTGAAATACTTTCAAATACATACTCCAAAGCAGTTTGTAAAATTATTTCATTGGCTACTGTTTTGTAGAGCAGTGAACCAAAAAGTCAATATAAAACCAGTAATTCTAGTTCAGTGTTGTGAACAATGTACTTAGGACATAGAATTTCAGTTTCAGTTGAAAAATATCCATGATATGGATCATGAACTTCTCTTACATGACAATGCAATGGCTAGGAAAATGGCAACATGCTGGGAAAATAGTCTCTGCTAGAGCTAGGTTGATTTATCAC